CCCTCCATCACCCAGCCGGGGCACTGGCACGGCGCTCAGCCCCAGCCAAGGACAGGTGTGGGCAGGAGATGGCGTTATGGTGACCTTCCCTGCCCTGATACAGAAGGACATCCACGCCAACACCAGTGAATAGGTATAACCACAGGCGGTAACGGTCTGTACCAGCGCCACGCAGCCCCAGTAGGAATCCTCCTCCCGGAACGGATGCTGCAGTGACCCACTCCCTCTTCACAGGCTCTCTTCCCCCACTGTCCTTCACGAAAAAATCTGTATGGGCCTCTCAGCCATCCTCTCACCCACCTGCCTGGACTGAAAGGTTGCTTCATAAACTCAACACACACTGAACTCTGGTTTTCAGGTGATTTGGGGTCAAGACAGGGCTAAAACTGGGTTTAGGGGTGCTGGAAACACCCTGGAGACAGAAGCAAGCTGGGTACATTTAACCACAAGATGACAGATTCAGAAGTTTTTGCAGCTTCAATAAAACTCTCAACAGCTACAGAACATTTTTCTGTGTTAATTTAATCATACAAATATTCATTTATACATTAAGGAAAAAGCTTCCTTTATTTTTACCCCCAATGTGCTATCATAGGACTTCTCCCAGACTCCAGGAGGCAACACACCACCCCGTTCTACACATGCACTCCCCCCGAGAGAACGGACAGGCTGCAGAACCACCCACGCACTCACACATGGAAAGAAAATTAAACACACAACAGAAACCCAGACGTGGGACAGCGTGCATTTCCTCGCCCCGCGGACGCCAGCGGCTCTCCTGCCCTCTGGCTGCACGGCTTCGCCCGGCAGTGGGGGAGCCACCTCTCCCAAACCTCGGAGGAGGCTGAAGCCAACGCTCCCGAGATGCAGGCAGCAGATTCCAGCTCCCCTCATCCCCCGGTGTGGCATTACCAGTTTTGGGGGAGCCCTAGGGATCGCGGGCTCCAGTTTGCCTGGGATGAGAGGGGGAGTCTGGGCTGCCATGGCCCCACTCGTGTTGGCCATATGACATCCTACATGGCTCACGTGGACAGAGGGATCCACTTAAAGACCATCAGAGATGTTCTGCGTTGTCCTTTTGCTTTTGGAGGGGTGGGGGTAAGGAAGATCTCGCTTTTGCTCCTTCTCGGGACTTCAAGACAGCGGGTGTTCAGAGACTGGCGCCAGTCGCAGCCTCTCCATCACTGCACCCTCCCGCAGCACTGGGTACCAGCCCCATCCCTCCCCCAGTCAGGAACGCCAGCCTCACTGGGCTAACAGCCTCTTTACTGGTTCACCAGTTTCAGCCCGGTAAGGATTTCCCCCCACCGTTTTCTAACGGGCCCAAGATGTGCACGTGTAGCTCACCCGGATGGGGTTAGCCGAGCCCCCGCCCACACCTGAGGCTCACCAAACCATCAGGCATTCAGCACTTCGGAAAAACGAGGCTATTGGTTCCTGCATCTCACGGAAAGACTCTGCGGGTTGGAATCCATCAGCCCTACAGAACCCAGCATCGGCACAGTGCCCTGAAGTCACCTGGAAAAAGCTTTGCTGAACACATCTCCAACCCCCCTGGTTAAAAGCTGGAAACCTGGCCGCAGGAGAAACACGAGGGCTGGCTGCACCACTAAGCTCCAAGGAAGCAGAGACAAAACCACCCTTGGCCTCGGTGGAACAGTTTGTACCCGAGGAAAAAACACCCAGAGGTAGAACAACCGCTAATTGAAACTCTTCCACCGTCACAGCCAGGGTTACAGCCCCAACCCGCAGAGCACCCAGAGCTCGGTGCGATCGTTCCCGCAGCTCCCCGGGGCAGAGCGGCGATGGGAGCAGCACCAGGCTGTGCATTCCAGCACCAACTCAGGCCTGGCCCTGCCTTTCTTCACGCCTCAGCACGAGGACCCCACGGACTGAAACCACTCGAGAGGAGCGAGAGTGGAAGCCTGTGCAGAAGAAGTGCCTTCTGAGGGGGAAAGTGCGGCACCGCGCGGGGTTTGCTTTCACCACAACGAAAACGCGAAGCACAGGAACACGCACGTGGCAGCCGTTACACACGGGAGAAGCACACGTGGCCGGGAGCGGAGAAAGCCAGCGTGGGGCTATCCGAGGTCAAGGGTCTCCAGGGGCCTCAGCAGAGACAAGACAAAGGTCGGAGCAGCGGCAATGACACAACCTCGGATCTTAATTCCCCCCTTCCTTCCCACCACGCAGCCAGTAAAAGGAGCTCATAAAGATAAGGAATCACCTTGTCACGTGGACAACCGGCCGTGACACCTTCAGAAGCGGCAGCATTGCAGGTGTGATGGTCAGGTTCGTGCCTTCAGCGCTTGTCACACATGCCACCTGCTCGGAAAAGAGGGAGCGAAGAGAACCCACTGCCCACGCGACACTAGCGATGCAAATCACGCCCTCCACTGAATTGCTACGAGGAGATAACTGATCCAAGGCAAACCGATGGGACAGGGCAGGAACCAGACGCTAGAGCTGCGCCGAGTCGGGCAGCACGTCTTCCGCGGGTTCCCCCTGCACCTTAACGCGCGCCCAGCTCCGGCGAGGCGCGACGCACACCCAGGGGCTCACCGGTGCACAGGGCTACCCGTCCAAACCCTGCGGTGCCCAAGATAACTACTGACATTACGCCCGTTTCTCCCAGCAAATGCGTTTTTGAAGGAAGACTGGGGCTAAGAGCAACCTCCAACAACTCAACCTCTGAAGTACAACCCAACCTATCCCCAGCTCTTCCTCTGTTGGGTGCAAGGACTCGCACTGTCCTCCACGAGATCTGCCCGCGTGCACCAAGTTAAAGAGTCGTCGGTAGCTGCGATGAACCAGCCATTCCAAACCAGCCTAGAAAACCCAACTAGTCAAGGGCCATCGGGGTAAAGCCACGTGCCACGCAGCGAGCCTGCCCTCTGCTCCAACAAGAGTCTTCTCCGGAAAGACTGGGAAGAAGGTAGCGGGAGCTTTGCATGTTACTGGATCTTTGGCAGGCGGCTGTCCCAGCCCGGTTCGCGGTTCGGACGGCAGCCCCTCACCTCGCCCCCTTCAGCGGGGCCTGCAGTGGCACAGCAATCCACCACAGCACTCCAGGCCATTCTCCCTCCCCCCACACTGGGCTTTGCAGGAGGAAAATACATCGGAAGAACAGCAGAGCAACCCCAATGTTTAGAGGGGCGATTCCTCCTCCAACACCAAGCCCTGGAGAGCTGGTTGTGAAGGGAAGAGCCTCGCAGAGGTACAAGCCAGGAGGATAAAGGCGCGTGAATAAAGGCGACGGAAGGGAATCCGGCTGATGATGCCAACTCTTGCTCTGCACTCAAAAACACAAATAATTAGCCTCTAAGCTCGTACTTCATCACAGGAGAAATGAAAGCTTAACCTCTATAAGAGATGGGAGGTTCAAAATTAAAAGGACATGACTTTTGTAAAGCTTTGCAACTACTACCAAGCGAATTCCAGCTCCAGAAGAGGCGTTTCCTCTTGGCACAACTGACGCTTGGTTGCTCTAGGCACAGCTACTGTACATCAAGAGTGAACGAAAAGGTATTTTAAAATGCAAATTACAGAGGACAGCTCTGGAACCTTAATAAATCTGATTAATACGGGTGGCCTGTTTGCGTGTATTTCATGTACAAGGGAAAGGGAAACGAGCCCTTCCAGAATCCCTCTCTCCACCTTCGATGCCGAGACCCCACTCTTCAGCATGGTTTCCGATGACACGCAGGACAACTGAGAGCAACACCCAAACCAAAAGGGGGGAAGAAAATAAAAAAAGAAATCAAAGATTAAAAAGTAGGTAACTAAAACCAGCAGGTGCTATTAAAAACGCAGAGCTGGGTGCAGACCCAACCGGTCATTAAAAAAAAGTCCGACAAAAAGAAGTCCCTGCACGAAGCCCAGAAGATGCTAAGCAATTCCCATGCGGTAGCAAGCAAAACACGACAGTTCCATAAAAATGCACGCTGTCCCTTATTTAAAAAAAATATATGAACAAGAAACAAACAGAAATTAAACATTTGCTCAAACTACAACCACTCTGTAGGCAAAATATTTTTTTTTTTAAAGATGGCTTTTTCATTTTCATTTTTAAACTTCTTTTTAAGCTACCTAATTATATGTGAGAATGATTTCTTAAAAAAAAAAAACCCAACCACGGTGTTGGTCTATTTTCTTTCTCATAGCATTTGACAACACTCCTGAAATCCAGCATTCACACATGCATACTCAGATTTTGTATTTTCCTCTGGAAACGGCTAGTCTTAAGTTACTGGGCTTTTGTTTATTCTTCTTTATCCAGAACACGGAGGCAGAGAAGGGGGGGATCCACGTTGTGTCTGTCTGCCACGTGAATCCCCCTCCCGCCCCCCGAAAGTCAGTTCTTTGTTAAATTCTCCTCTTGTCGATACCCGTTTTGTGTTTTTGTGTTTTAAGACTGTCCGAAGGGATAAGGACCGTGGAAACCCTGAAAGAAAGTTGGGAGACATAATCAATTTCAATAGGCAAGAAACAAAAACCAGTCAGCGTTCACCTACAAATACCGACCGTCCCATCCCAGCGCTTCTAAACCAAACGCAACCCCTGACCCACCAACGTGGCCTTTGTCGTCCACCCTTACAAAACTCTCCTAAAGCGCAGCTTTCGGTGCTTGGAGCTGGTTTCCACAGACACCAAGTGCTATCCACTTACCTCTTTAGGTGTTATTTAGGCCAGGTAACAGCCAGGCGTTACTGGGCCACAAAGCAACTTGCGTGTTCTACAGCAGAGCAAAAATGCCCCGTAGATGCTACAATACCTGCGAGGCCAAGCAGTCTCACAAGTCTGTTCTAAGGATTACAGCAAGCAGCTAAGTAAGAGGCCGTAACTGCTAGAAGAGTCTATTTAAGGAAAAAAACATACAGAACCAAGATTTGGAAACCCATGTTCCCACAGCTGCCACCTCTGCTCTCTCAAGATAACAATATGTATTTTTCTCAAGTGAAAATCAACCACATTTAACCAAAACAATCAAAATGCTTGCTACAGAATTCATTTCCCTCCCGTACATCCCGAGACGAGTCACCGAAATGACAGACCTAGCAACAGGAACTCCTGTCTGTAGTTCAAAGCAGCCACCCAGGGGCTCATCAGGAAGCAAAAGAAAGCGACCAACAGACAGGCAACAGATCTCCCGTCACGGGGATCTAAAGTTTGTCACGATGACTGAGGTACAAACCGCACACAGAATCCTCCTGCGAGATCCAGACGCATACTCGGGTCAGAAGTGAGACAAGGAGAAAAGCTCATTCTAAGACCACTATGCAAGTGCTTTTTTTAACACAGTCCAGCTTCTTGCCAGCATGCGGAGGTGTAAGATGGGCGAGACCCAACTAGTACAAACCCATTCTCAGTCTGTAAGTGAAGCTCTGACTTCAGTTTTCACCATTTTGCCTTTAACAGGGAAAATCTCTAGGGAAACACCGTTTCCTGCATGTTCTCCTACAGCTCTGACAACCTCTCTGCGTGAGCCAGAGCCACGAAGCAGTGAGTCCTTAACGTGACTCAGTAAAGAAAGGATCAACCTCGTTGGCTCGAGCCCAGTTGCAAGAGCCCACGGTCAAGAGCTCTGTTGTCTATCTACGTTATAAAGGAAGCACTATACGCAGCCCGTATTCACTACTGCTGGTGAGAAAAAGTTAATTCTTTAGGATACATCAGGTGGCAACGTACAAGACAATGGTAAAACGGAGCATCTATCCGCAGCTCTCAAACTTCGGCCAAGAGAGGAGGATTAGCACATAAACAGGACATCTCGTGAACTGCAGGGAAGACTGGAAACTTGGAAATTGCTCCTTGCACGCAGAAATACAATCAAGGGATGGAAAAACAAACATGCTTCTACCCTAGGAAGACACTGTACTACCAGTCTGTAAAGCAAGCTTTTCAAAAGATAACACCCAGCAGATCCCAGTGCAAGGGTTCACCTCAGAAAGGAGAAGCTCCCACCAAAATCAAGAGACTGAGACATTCAACATTCCCAAAAAAATACGCTGTAACAGGGGAAAGAGGAAGAGAAACATTAAAACAACGTGAATGTAACAAACAACAACGACAAGAAGCACAACAAAACCCCAAGGACACAGAAGGAAACCAATGTTACAAGCAAGATCTCAGCACTTTCACCTCTAAGGGGTGAAGCCATTGTACTTGGTGCTCTACGGAAGAAAATCAGGACTTGTCGCCGATCACCTGCGCAGACACGCTTGCCAGAATTGGCTTCGCCTTTCAGTTAGCTGCACAGAAGGCTCTGTCTGCAGATGCCGACTGGCAAGCCTCACGAGAGCGGCCGAAACACCAGCTGCTGCCAGCTGCCCGCTCGCTCTGCAGCGCTGACGTATCTCACAGTTTGTCACAGGCAAAACCTGGTCGGTGTAATACGGTGCGTGCCGTAAGCCAAGACATCGCATCGCCCCACGGCGTAGAAGAACGGACGCAGATAAATCAGGACGCAGCCCAGAGTCTTCAGCCTCAGTCAGACATGAGAGC